TCATGAGTTAAAACCCCCTTATTTTAAGTAATCTCTTCTGATTACTTAATCAGAAGAGATTAAAATTTTAAAAATTTTAATAAAGTACACTGACTTTACATACACACACACATATATATATACATGCACATACACACACACACACACACATATATTCAGAACCCAACCTCTTATCCACTAAACTTGTGTTTTTCAAATTATAAATTTATAACCCATTAGTGGGTTGTGAAATTAATTCAGTAAGTCAACCATCACTTCTAAAATGAATTAGAACAGGGGTGCCTGGGTGGTTCAGTCGTTAAGCATCTGCCTTCAGCTCAGGTCATGATCCCAGGGTCCTGGGATCGAGCCCCGCATCGGGCTCCCTGCTCAGCTAGAAGCCTGCTTCTCCCTCTCCCACTTCCCCTGCTTGTATTCCCTCTCTCTGTGTCTCTGTCAAATAAATAAATAAAATCTTTAAAAAATAAATAAAATAAAATAAAATGAATTAGAACAGAGAGGGATAGAAAGTAATAGATACACTGCACAGTACAATTTTTCATGAACCTCCATTCATGCACACACACACACATAGTCCATGATGTTAAATGTATTTTTAACTGTGGAATGTGAACAAAATAATTTTTAAATCACTACTCTAATCTACACTGCATTATAATTACTTTTAGTTTTGCTTTTAAAAGTAAGAGATTCCAATCTACCTTTATTTTAAAACAAAGGCATGGCAAACGCGGACAGCTAATGAAAATATTCCATTAAAATGCTCTTTAAAATACCATTATTATCATGCATGAAGAATGATCACTCTTATATTAATGAAATCTAAATGCTCTGCTTTCTTACAACTGACTATAATATTTGAGCTAGAGAGAAATATAACAACAGAAAACAGAAGAGAATTCAAAGTCACCGAAATAATTTTATAATGTGGAATATTACTGATTCTTAGGTGATCTATTTTTTAAATTTCACATAACTTCCACTAATTTCTAAATTTCTGGTCTACAAAGATATTTGAACAGAAGGAGCCGTCCTAGGCACCTTTGGAATAGCAGGTGAAGCCAACTTGGAAAAAAAGTTGCAACATAAAATACATGAACAAGAAAATATATACATAGTGGACCAAGAGAGGTAGCTTTCTTCCACTGACCTTCCAGGATACGCTTTACAAGCTACACTGCAGTGTGGAAAAATTGGGCAAGAAGCTAAAACTTTGATGCTCTTTTACTAAGGGCCTAAATTTAGCCCATTTTTTTTTTAACCTAGCTAAGGTACATATGCACATTGCTTTAAATGCTTACCCAACAATTCATTTTACATAAAATAAAAACAAAAACTTCTATAGAAACAAGTTCCATTATACTCTCTTCATGATAAAGCTTCACTTCCTAAAAGTTATAAAAATCAAATTCATAAGCCATCCATCTATAGTTTTAAAACCACCACTACCATCCAAAGTGATGTAAAAAAGAATGAATATTAATATACGGGTATTTAAAGCCAGAAAAGGTATTTGCTGAAATACACATAAACACTATATTCACGTGCATGTATGTGTTTGTGTGTTTCTGAAAACATACATTGTTTTTGGAGAGATGAGGGGATGGGAAGAATAGGGGAGACAACAGGGCAAAAGAGGACTTTATATATCTGTTCATACTGTGGTTTTTGAACTGTTACCTATTTGGGCAAATCAGAGCTTCTCATTCTTGTCCCCCCTCCTGAATTGCCTTGCTTCTGCATCCTACTCCATGCACTTCCACAACCCCTCCTTGGTACCCTCATCACACTAGGGAACCTACAGAGTGCAGACATTTCCTGAGTGCCTGCTATGTATAGGCCAGCTGCTATTCCGGGCATGGGACACAAAGGTAAGTAGGATAAGGTACCTGCCTTCAGGGAGCTTGCAACCTCAGAGGAAGACAGAAGAGGAAACAGGTCACTTCCAAATAATATGGTACATATATTGGCAGAAGTATAATGTAACATAACCTACCGCATTGTATTTCAACTATTTTTCCCTCTCTCTTCCCACATCTCTCAAAGGTGCAAACCTCTGACATACACGCTGGGCCCACAGTGATCTTTGGATCCTGTGCTGAGAAAAGATCCCATATGATGTAAACTTCATAAGTATCTCCTGAACAGTATTTTAAGAAACATGTTCATATATGTCTTAATGTTGCAAAATGGTGATTGATATATATGCCAACTATTAACCTGGACCCCTGTAGTGTATTATAATCTTAGAATTTCAAAACAAATATCTTTGGGCGCCTGGGTGGCTCAGTTGGTTAAGCGACTGCCTTCGGCTCGGGTCATGATCCTGGAGTCCCTGGATCGAGTCCCGCATCGGGCTCCCTGCTCAGCAGGGAGTCTGCTTCTCCCTCTGACCCTCCCCCCTCTCATGTGCTCTCTCTCTCCTCTCATCCTCTCTCTCAATAAAAAAAAAAAACAACAAAAAAACAAATATCTTTAACCTCAGAAGCCCTATGATCTTTCAGTCCTTAACATGTAGTCTTGGCTTTTATTCCATAAAGGGGGGAAATAATGAAAGCTAAGCCTACCTGTTTCTTCTCCTGGAAATCAAAGCATCCTTGCTTGTTTTTACTGGTAAGACTGAAAACTTTCACCCACTAATTTAAAATTTCTATTCATAGTTAATACATTAGTAATTTCTTGCAATTTTCAGGAAGATGATAATTCTCACTTTGACACAGGTTTGCCAATATTATTTAAAGACTTCTTAGAGTTCAAGCCTTGAACTTCTAGGTAAGAAAAATAATATTCTCACCTTTCCCTGAGCTCTATCCAAAATAAATGATAGAAATGAATTGCAAACATAACATGAAGCATTGTTGTAATTAATCAACCCAGAGCCCAAAGGAGGAATCATTTCTATTTTTAAATACACTGCTGCTTTAAGGGGAAAACCTGGTGGAGAAATATGAAACCAGACTACATAACGAAAATCAAAAGGCATTTGGTGTCTCCATTCTTGCAAAGACAGTAATCCTAACCTACAAGCAGCACTGCTGGATAGACTTCAGTCAAGTTTTCTGTAAACTGAGTGACCAGTACCCAGGTAGAAGCCCACAGAAAGGGTCCATCCACCAAAGAATCCTATCTGTCGGGGGGACAAAACAAGAGAACTCCCATGTTTCAATGCTATTCTTAGTTTCAGATAAGGGGCTATTCCAATAAGCCAGCAGATGGATAAATCCCCAAGTCACCCTACAAGTCTTTACTTAAAAGATCCCGATTCGTAACTGCAATGGTGGCCCTAAAAATGATCAACTAATTATTTAGCATTTCTAACCACCTATCTACAGTTACCATTTCTTATCCAGGTTCCACAAAATTAAATGTTTCTCTCCACAAATCGGAAAGCTTCATTTCATTAAACAGTAAGCTAACTGCAGCACTCCCTATGGTTAAGAGTGACAAGGAGCAGGTGCCAAACCAGCAAGGAAAAACAGAAGCAGTGGCTACATTAACAGGAGCTCATATTCTACCTGTTTCCCAGGCTGCTTTGAAGAATCTGGCCCAGCAGAATTTGCAGAGGAAACAATAAAAAAATAACCAGTTTCAGAAAAACTGTTGATGATGTGGACATCTAATTTAATCTGTAAATACTGAAATTTACTCAGTTCACTAGCACCATGAAATATACAACTACACCACTAGAAATGTATCTAAAATACTGTAAGTCTTTAAAATGTATCTAAAAATATTATCCAAGGATACATCTATTACTGAAAAGCGTTTAACACAACATTTTAAATATAACTTTAGCTATTTACTATCACCCTATCTGCTATAGGTAGCAGAATGTTTGCAAACTGAATAAAAATTTCCACCCTCAGCACAAAAAGCAAAGGACTCCCAATCTTACCTCCTGACAACTTCTTCCCCTGAATTTAGCAAAATTGTGCCTGAACACCACATGATTATAGAATAGAGGCAACTGCGTCCTTTAGCAATAAAATAACCCTACTTCAGCCTCTATTCAGTGAAAAAATCTCCCAAGAGCAAAAAATCACTAAATTGTAGTGCATCAATCAACAGGTGACTTTTAGAAACACACTCATACTCATGTCCCAGAGGAATTAATTCTGTCAAATCTGCCAGTTTTTTTTTTTCTTTTCTATTTTTACAAGCTACTGCATTGCTATACTGAATGAATTCCAACCGTTTTCTTCTCAGGGGCTTACCAGAAAAATGCCAAATATTCAAATTATTTTAAGGCATTTTCCCATACTGCTGCGTGGAATAGAGCAGAATTAATAAGGATCCAAGAGTTACCACTTTTCAAATGCAAATATGTTGCCATCTAGTAAATGCAGCCCCTTTTTAAACATCCCCCCAGTGTCTACACAGCTCAGGGCACCACTTTTGTTTCCTTGAAAATCAAAATTCGCGCATTACATTCAGGCATTATCTCGACCCGGCACCAACAAAATAATAGATTTTAAATGGTCCACGCCTGAGCCTGCATCATACAATACTGTTCTGCTTTATTATGAGGGTTCCCCCCCCCATTTTACAAAGTCCCTAAACAATTCCGCCAAATAAAGCAAACTGTGCAGTGGTAGAAAAAAACGAGGGGGCACTGGGTTCCACGAAAACAAGGCCTTGGGATGGTCCCTTGCCCGCCTGAGGCCTCAGTTTTCTTATCTGTAAAATGTGGGACTGCTCGTCTCTGGGGTCCCATCCGGCCCCCTCTCTCCGGGTGCCCCGAAGCCGGCCAGGTACGCGGAGGACTGGTGCCGGCTGTGGCCCGGGTGCCCGGGCTGATGCCGCTCTAGATGGGAGGGGACAAGGAGGGGGGCAGCGGGAGGAGAGGAACTTGGACTTGCCACAGCTTCAGACAGGAGCGTGCGACAAACTTGAAGCCGTCCTCCTAACAATAGGGAAGAGTACTCCCATTTTCCGGGCTCAAACTTGCCGGGGACTGCGGGGTGGGCTCCTCCTGCCCGCCCTCTCGGTGCCCGCTTTACCTTTCTCCCTGTTTGGTGTTAGCAGGAGGAGGGTGCAGGACCGTTTGATTCCCTTCCATCTCCACCACGCACTTGGTGTTCAGTTCCAGTTCTGAAAGCAGAAGGGGAGAGGGCCGTTGCCGAGGCGAGCATCCGCGCCTCCAGCCCCTTGGGCGCGGGGCTCACCCGGGGCTGGTC